AATAATAATGGAGTGTCAGCCAAATTCCTATCTGATAAATTTATAGATTTAATCGAAGTTTGAGTAAAATCGAAACAAACCCGCAAGAATGAGAACAAAATTGCCGTCCGCATTTTTCAAGCCCTTTGTTGATAACCTTTTCAGTGTACATGATTGCACTTTCTCAGCAATAAGGTACTGAATTAAGGCTTCCGCTGCAAGGTACGTCTTTGGACAAGGCGTATACGCTACTATTGCAAGCATTCGTAAATCCAAACTCCTAAATCCAAACATTTCACTGCACTATCGACAGATTATTCATATCAGTTATATTGAAACAGTTACACAATTCACCATTCTACTGTGAGTATACTGGAAAACAGATTTAAATCGGATAAACTACGGAAACCTTAAAGAATCCTAAACCAAATTAGACTCTCACGTTTCTTGCTACGGCTACACGAAGGAACCAATCCTCCGAATTGTTCTAATTTAAAACAGAAACAGGCTAATACAACATCTCACATAACGCAGCTTATTTCATTTCTTAAGCTTTCCCCTTGGCGCATCGAACGAACGAACTCCGTACATGAAATTATCGCAATGTCTTTTTCAAGTCGGATGTTTTGAAGGGTAGGGACGAGACGACTTGAGAAACGACGCGTTAAACGTTACAGTGCTGTTTTAAAGCAGGTTGAAAGCTCATACCTCCTGAAGCACACGAATGGCACACACGAAAATTTATCTACCTATACAACTGAACCAGTGTTTCGGCGACTGCTTTTGAACGTTCGTCGAATCGAATTTCGGGATCGACCATGTTCCAGTCCCAGAACAATGCTTCCAATCGAGGGAATCGTTCACTCAAAACCGATAAGAACAATTCCGCATCGTTATCCAATCCAAACTTCAACTCTTGAGCTATCAAAAATTTCACCGTTACTGCGTTTGCTGTCGACTTCACAAAATCTTCGGACTGAAATACGAATCAATCAAAAAAACCAACAAATAAAATCAAATCTTCAATGATCAATTTCACTGATTTTAGATTCTAGCAGCTCAGTTACAATGACGACAAACCGCATCTGAAGTGCACGAAGTCATGAAAAATATTT